CACTCCAATTGTTGTATTAATAAACGTGTGATCCACTGCCTGCTTCTTGAGTTTTCCCGAACTATGAGGGATGTTCCTATCATGTTTATACTTTACTAATAACTAATTTCATTATATCGTTTGAATCTTTTGTTTGTTCGACCACCTTCTGTTGTCAATTGGAGTCGTAAGAGCGGTTGGCTCGTTTCTCTCGGAAGTCATTAGGATATGGAAATAACCAATAGCATATTGGCATCAGTTGTCTTCGACCTCTAATTAAGGATTTAACCAGCCGAACGGGAGAATAGCTTTCGTTCATTTTTTCTTTTTCAACTTTTAATTATATTTCAATGAAATCCGCTAAATTGAGACTTATCTGATGGATGATGTTACTAGGAATTGAAAAACTCTTTGTTCTGTTCGATGATCCTCCTTTCCTATAAGGAGATAACTGTTGGGAGTTCAAGAGTTCCTAGGATACTCTCTTCACTATGTCAGTCGACCGTTTACTCACATTCTATTTCTTGGAAAACAATATTGTTTATCACAGTGATTCCATGAATTAGTAATAACATGACCGATCATCACGATCAGCTNTTTATCACAGTGATTCCATGAATTAGTAATAACATGACCGATCATCACGATCAGCTCAAACTCTCTTCAATTGTTAACGAACGACAACGTTCTCGACTGCCATCAAGCAGCATTCGAACAAACTCAGACACGTGTAAGTATTTACGTAAAGGTATTATCACTCTCTTTGGGTGGATGAAAATCGAAATAAGTTCTGCCATGTCTGTAATCCGAGAGACACCCAGGTTGTGTAGGACTTTCTCGCAGAGTTTTTTACTCCATGCATCGTCGTTCACATTAGGGTAATGAACAAGTATACTGTTAATTTCAAATCCTACCACGATGGATCAACGATGTTATGAAATCGACCTCAATCGATAACTGGATGATCGACATGCTTTGTTGCTTCGAAGGCATGTTATGACCTATCATTCAGATTACTTAACTCATACTGTTTCGATCAATTACAATGTTCTTGATTCAGGTTATAGAGGAGAGAAAT